TGATATTGTCAACTTTTTTGTGTTTGTTCTATTCTTTTTTGAGAATAAAATCTTGATAGCTCTTGCAAAAGTTTTTCAAGTCCTGATAGACTTTGGCATTATGATTTGCCTTGATACCAGACTTTTTCTTCATTCTCCACACAGCCACCCTTGAGAATTCCGTCATTTTGTAGCCACATCACAAGGTAATCAGAGACTCAATTACATATGGCAACAAGATTGCTTATTGACTAAGGTTGATAGAAATTATTCCAGGGCCTTACTCTTCTAATACTTTCTCTCAACTTCTGAAGCCATTTTTGAATGGAACCTTTGAAACTCAGTTTCAGTGTTCCTATTAGTATGTTGTCACCTTATGATATAAACCAAGAACATTTTGTACAGGACTGTTCACACTACAGTTTAATAAAGGACAGTTATCAAGAATTGTAGACAGGCATCCTTTTGTGAAGTACTGATGCTAAAACATGTAAACAGTATCTCAAGAGGAACACAATTATTTGGACAATCTGTGTACAGTAGCCAGAAAAGAAGGCTCCGTATAAAGGCACACACTTTCCCCCTACCTTTCTAGTATAACCACAGTAATAATCTTCAAGGATATTCTGTCCACGTATGTACCTTTCCTGTTGCTGTAGAGCCAGTAAAAGATATTTTGGATACCAATGGATCAGTGCATAGAACTTCCCCTACAGCTGCTGTCTGTTGTCTGGAACAAGGGACAACATTGTACACTCCTGCTGGGATTCCAGCCTGGTTTGCAAGCTGCAACAAAAGAAAAACAGAATTTGCATTATTAGTGCATTTTTTAAGAGGAACAGTCACTTAATGATTGCTCAATGTTTTGAAGAATACAGTCTATAAGTCAATGGAAGCCAAAAGGGCTCAGCACAACCAGGAATTGATACCACAGGTGCTTGAGAGAGCAGTTTTGCTCTGGTTAAGCTGTGTCTTCAAAAGAACCAAATTAAAGATATAAGGATATTTTGAGTATCAAAATGGCCAAATCCATTTTGAGGCTCTAGACCATATTAGAAACAATTTGCAAAGATTCTCACTAAACTTAAACACCTGCATCAAGTCAGTTTGTCCTTTCTTCACATATGAAGCTGGCCAGATCTACCTTCCAAGCCCATCTGACTCCCTGTTTACAGTATCAGTCCATTGCTGAGGTAAAGCTTAGCACTGAAAGCTCACCTCCCCAAGAGCTAATGCTGATAAAGGTGTGTCCTCTGCAGGTTTCACCACCACTGTACAGCCAGCTGCCAGAGCTGCACCAACCTTGCGGGTAATCATAGCGCTGGGAAAATTCCACTAGGAAGAAAGAAAATAGTACAGTCAAAGTTAGGAAAATTTTCCCTCCTTTTTTGCAGAAGTGACATTTTGAACTGGGAGCTGAGCTGACAACCTTCACTTGACTCTGAAGAGTTCAGCTATGCTTACTGGGGTTATAATGGCTGCCACTCCTACTGGCTGCTTCAGCACCAGGACTCTTCTGTCTTTTGCAGATGCTGGAATAACATCACCATAAATCCGTCGAGCCTCCTCCGCAAACCACTCCAGAAACGAGGCTGAATACACAATTTCACCCTGTGCTTCTTTCAGAGGCTTCCCCTTTGATTAAATAAGATTGAAGATACATTGTAAGCACCAAACAGAAGCAATATAAACAAATTAAAGCATTTTGGAGTTTTTCTTCTTTTCAGAGTACTTCATGATCCCCTCCCTCTGACATACACTGTGATCTCCACAAGATTGATTGCAGTAGCAATAGTTGTGTGGATTCAATATACCATCATTGTATAGTCAGTAATTCGTATGCTGTGCCTGGATTCATACCTGCCCAGGACAAGGAAGAAAAATAGCAAATGTAGCATGCATTTATTTACAAACTCTGAGTTAGCTGCTATTATCACTCTGAAGAAAGACACAAATAATGCCAAAACAGTCACAAGTTTATGCCAGGGTCATTTGTTTTGGGAGTATTGTTTGGACTACCCCCAGATCTGACCCTGTGGACTGAATGACCATTAGAAGCTGTGACACCACAGCGGAGCTGCTGAAGCATCTTCCAGCAAGGTTTTGTCTGAAAGGACACCAGTTTGTGAGCTCCCAGAGTACTCAGTGATCCAGACTGTGTGAGTCCAACTTGAAGACCTGCGTGATTTTTCCCAGTCACAAACATTTCTGCCACGAGGACCGTGGTTTAGGTGGATGTACACTTTTGCATGCCATGAAGCACAACACGGGTCTGGTTTCCTCTGATTAGGTACTACCGTCATCAAACCAATGTACTTTATGTCCGGAGAAGGAGTGTTTGAAACGTCACCCACGAACCTAGCAGAGCAATGTGAGTGCACAATATGCCCGAAGTTATTTAAAAGGACACGATGGCTAACTGGTGAAGCGCGCAGGGAGAGGTTTGACAGCTTTACTTGGTGTCACCGTTCGCTGCCGGTGTTGGCTTTCCCAGCGCGAGTGCCAGCACGGGGCAGTGCCCGTGCCCACCCTCGCCGCCCCACTCACGTTCTCGGCTGTGATGATCCGCGCCAGCTCCTCCTTGTTCTCCATCACCAGCTCGTACCATCTGCGGAGGCGCGCGCTCCTCTCCTGGCAGGAGGGAGAGACAAGGCTGCCGTGGCCGCCTCACGCAGGGACGGGGAAGCGAGGCCCCGAGAGACCCGACCGGAGCGGGCCGGACCGCCCCGGGCCCCCCCACGCCGCCACCTCCCGCGGCCGCTCACCT